ATCTCTCCTGGATCAGGGACCTTTCCAGGGATCTCTCCTGGACCAGGGACCTTTCCAGGGATCTCTCCTGGATCAGGGATCTCTCCTGGATCAGAGATCTCTCCTGGGCCAGGGACCTTTCCAAGGATCTCTCCTGGATCAGGGATCACTCCTGGATCAGGGATCTCTCCTGGGGCAGGGACCTTTCCAGGGATCTCTCCTGGATCAGGGAATCACTCCTGGATCAGGGATCTCTCCTGGATCAGGGACTTTTCCAGGGATCTCTCCTGGATCAGGGATCTCTCCTGGATCAGGGACCTTTCCAGGGATCACTCCTGGATCAGGGATCTCTCCTGGACCAGGGACGTTTCCAGGGATCTCTCCTGGATCAGGGATCTCTCCTGGATCAGAGATCTCTCCTGGGCCAGGGACCTTTCCAAGGATCTCTCCTGGGGCAGGGACCTTTCCAGGGATCTCTCCTGGGCCAGGGATCTCTCCAGGATCAGAGATCTCTCCTGGATCAGGGACCTTTCCAGGGATCTCTCCTGGATCAGGGACCTTTCCAGGGATCTCTCCTGGGTCAGGGATCACTCCTGGATCAGGGATCACTCCTGGGCCAGGGACCTTTCCTGGATCAGGGACCTTTCCAGGGATCTCTCCTGGAGTGAATCCTCACAGGCACCAGGGGCAGATGATGCCCTGCACACCCAGAGCACCCTCAGCTCATGCTAACGCTGCATCCACCATCCTGGAAATCTTATCCCAGCTCAGTGATCATCCCATGATTCTACACCTCTGGTCCTCCCAGCCCGACGGTGCCTGCTCCATCCAGCAGGGCACAGATCTGTTTGGGGGAGGAGATCCCGGTTTGGGGGAACAAAAACACCACCAGGATTTTCCAGGGCCGTTATCTCATCCGGCTGCGGTGGAACGGATCCCGGGAAAGCCACGGAGCAGGCTGGGAGCTGTTGACTCTGCAGCCCCACGTGAGCCATCTCCAAGTCAATACCACGGCAGTAACACGAAACCAATCCAGAACCAACCCTCATTTCCTTCTTTCTCCTCGGAAAACCCCGAGGAGAGGCACCGAGCCAGCAGCTCAGCCCCCAAAACCTCCCCAAAAGCAGCTCTGTCCTTTCCTCCAGCTGGGAGAAACAGCCAGAGCCAACCCCAGCAGGTCACCTCCAAAAACCCCAAGATATTGTTCCTTCAAAAGCAGAATCTGTTTGACACGAAGAGTAAACATCACATGAGAGCGGGCAGGAACACGGCTACACCTTGCAAGGCTTAGCTAAACAGAGGAGAGAAATACTCCCTGTCTCCTCCAAGGGCACTAAACAGTTGGTCATCGTAATTTTTTTGGCCTAAATGGTCACTTGAGGCAAAAATTAAATCCAGTTAATTCGTGTGGTTGAGCGGAAATGGATCTTCCATTAAAACAATCGCTCTCCTGCACGCTCGCACCGAGTTTGTGCATCCAGGGCTCTGTGTTCTCTCAATTAATGCTCTCATTAGGGCTCAGGACAATCATAAATACTGAATTTAAATAATTACAGCACAACAGGTACGGCTGAGGAACACAGATGTAACGTCAGCGCTCGGAGATTTTCCAGAGGAGAACGAGATAAGGGTGGATAAAGCACAGCCCTGCCCTGGGAACATCCTGGGCAGGGATGGAGGGTGTGCCAGGAGGGATTCCACCTGCAGCCAGCTCTTCCTCACACCACGCTCTTCAAATTTCTGAGTCCCTCACCCGGTCTGGGGACACCCCAAAGCAGCTGCGGATAAACCCCCTCGGCACGGAACGGGATCGTGCACAGGATGAGGTGATGAAGCTCTGAACCACTTTTATTCCATGGGGACACACCCACACTTCTCCTCCCTGTGTGTCCCTGTGCCCTGAGCCTCTCTCCAAACCCCTCCTGCCTTCCTGGAGCCGGGAGCTCCCCAAACCCTCCCCGGGTCGGAAAATTCCCCGATCCGGGGGAACCCTGCTCCGGCTCCTCTCCGGGACAAAACGCAGCCTGGGGATGGCACAAAACCCCTTCACAGCGTCCCGGACGCTGTCCCTGCCTGCCACCACCCCGGGCCACCTCGGGATGCTCCAGGGCAGGGATGCGGGGCCGAAGGCTCGCTCCTCATCCTCGCGGATTCCGCGGCAGCGCCGCGCTCAGGGGATGCCGAGCCCGGGGGGATCCGTCCTGCGCCAGCCCGGGGGGCAGAACTGCCCCTCTCCAGCCGGGCTGGAGCCCTTCAGAGAGGCTCTGCGGGACGTCAGCCTCCGGCACACCCTGCGCACGAAGGCGCGGAACACCGAGGTGCGGAAGATGATGAACACCCAGGGATCCACGATGGAGTTGACGGAGAGGAAGCGCAGCGCGCTCAGGTCGGCGTTCTCGTTGAAATCGGCAGCGAAAGCCCCCATGTACGCCCGGATCTGCGAAATAAATGACAGGAAATGAGAGAAAATGAAGGAAATTAGGGAAATTAAGGGAGGTCTTGCCACGGTGGGGGTAAAAATATTCCCTTGAGGGCAGCGGAAGAAGTTGTGACCCCTCGGTGTCCCCATCAGGACGTGGGGTGGGGGTTGAGGATCCAGCTGGGAGCGGGGCAGGGTCATGGATGGCTCAGGGATGGCAAATCCTGTCAGCACAAGGATGTTAGAGCTGGAAATGAGGTCCAGGTGAGCAGGATTTTTTCATGGATGAAGGAATCACCCAGCCTTGGTGGGTTTGTCCCCTTGCCATGGAAATTGGAGCCGGCATCCATGGGATAACTCAGCAGGGATTCATCCTGATTGAGGAGGGGGTGGTCACAGGTACCAGCCCAGGGCTGCAGGTGGCTGGTAGCTCCTGGTACGGCTCCAGAGGTGACAGAGGTGACAGGAAGAGGATGTGGAAATTGTCACCAAAGGCAGTGGCAGCACCCACGCACACCCCCCACCCTGATTTGGGGATAACCCCGCCCGTGGCTCCAGCTCTTCCAGGGTGATGGAAAGGTGGAAATGCAGGATCCGGACTCAGGGAGGGGGAGAAGGGGGCAGCAAGGGCTCGTTCCTGCCGGGGGGGTCCCATCCCCGGGGGAGGAGTGAGGGGATTTCAGTGGGGTCCAAAGGGAGCTGGATCCACCCAGCAGGAATGGATTTGGGGTGGGAATGGGGAGATTTGAAGGGTCTGATGGGGTGGGAATGAGGGGTTATTGAGGGGTGTGATGCACTGAACTGACACCTCCCTCCCAAACCTTAAACCCCTTTGGGGCAGCCTCGGAGGAAGGAGGGGTGATGGGGTGGGTGTTACTCCAAAGGAGTTAAAGCCTCCTTTGATCCCTGGGATGGGACACTCAGGTGGGACTGAAATAATCACCTGACCCCTCCAACCCCTCTGGGACAGAGAGGTGATGATGGAGGGGCTGTTTCAGGGGGTTAAAACAGTGAGCTGACCCCTGGGGATGGGATATCCCAGGGAGGGGACAATGGAATGACCCTCCCCAGGACAGAGTGGGTTGTGGTGGGGGGAAAAATATTCCAAGGAAGTTTGAGCAATCAATCAACCCCCAGGACAGAGTGGTGGGGTTGTTGTGGTTATTCCAGGAGGATTAAACAATGAATTAACTTCTCCCATCCCAGGATGGGTGTTGGATGTTATTCCATGGGTGTTAAAACAACAGTCAGATCCCTGGAAGAGGGTGGGGGACCCTCAGAGTAATTACCTGACCCCCCAGCTCTGGCACAGAGTTATTCCAGGTGTGGGGGGTTATTCCATAAGAGTTAAAGGATAAACTTCAATTTAAATAAATTTATTTGATTCATTGAAATGAATTTAATTTATTTAATTCATTGAAATAAATTTAAATAAATTTAATTCATTGAAATAAATTTAAATAAATTTAATTCATTGAAATGAATTTAAATAAATTTAATTCTTTGAAATAAGTCAAGGACTGGGGATGTGGTGCTTTGTGTTGAGGGTGGGCAACCTCCCAGAATGGGATAGTGGAGCCCATTAAAGGAATAACCTGACCCTTGGAGAGGCTCCTAGAGGGTGGCAGGGGTGGGTTACTCATAGGGGACTAAAGCAGGGAACCCCCCAGCACCTCCAGGTGGTTCCAGAGTTTATTCCAAGGGGCAAAAACAACCCCTGACCCCCTGGGAGTGGGTGGTGGTGATGGGGAGGTTATTCCAAGGAGTTTCAGGCATTGATCTTGTCCCTGTCAGGGAGGATTTAGAAGGAGGCACAGTCTCGGCCCCTGGGAGCTGGTGGTGCTGTCAGGGTTTATCCCAAAATCAGTGCTCTGACTCCCCCAGGACTGAGTGGTGCTGCTGGGGGGAATATTCCAGGTTCTCACCCCCATGGACAGGGTGAGGGACAATTCCAAGGGGGCCAATCCATGGATCCAACCTCCCTGTGAGAGGCTGGTGCTAAGAAAGGATATTTTTCCAAATGGATTCATGGCAGGAGGGGGGGACACAGCGACCACCCACCCTCCCAGGGGCAGGGGATGGTGAAGGGGATATTCCAGGGTGCTTTAACAGCGGCCTGACCCCCATGGACAGGTAAGGAACTATTCCAAAGGGGGCCGAACCATCCCGGTGAGAGGATAGAAAAGATCTTTTCCCTGCAACCCCCCACCCTCCCCGGAGCAGGGGGGCAGCGGGGTTACTCACGATGAGCGGCAGCGAGCAGACGGTGAAGAGGACGGTCATGAGCCCCAGCAGGACGAGGTGATCGAGCTCCTCCATGCGGGGGGCGGCGGCGGGGGGCTGCCCGCGGCGGGGCTGCCTCCGGGCCATGCCGTACAGGTGCCANGGACAGGGGGAACGGGGAACCCTCCCTTGCCCGCCCGGGGAGGGACAGGAGGGGTGGGGAACCCTCCTCTGCCCGCCCGGGGAGGGACAGGGGGAACGGGAACCCTCCCCTGCCTGCCCGGGGAGGGACAGAGGGAACGGGAACCCTCCTGTGCCTGCTCGGTGCCGAGAGCCCGGGGATGGAGCGATGGGGAACCTGCCTCTGTGTGCTCAATGCCGGGGCAGGGCACCCGGGAGCCCGGGGATGAAGGGATGGGGATCCCATCTCTGCCTGCTCGGTGCCGGGAGCCCGGGCATGGACAGAGCCGGGGATGGATGAACAGATGCCTTGTCAAGGGTCTGGGGGCAGGGGGACCCGGGGGGACCCACAGAATCACCAGGTTGGGAGAGACCTCCGAGATCATCGAGTCCATCCCAGCCCTGACACCTCAAGCAGCCCCTGGCACCGAGTGCCACATCCAGGCTTTTCCTAAACACATCCAGGGATGGTGACTCCAGCACCTCCCCGGGCAGAGCATTCCAGCACCTCATCACCCTTTCTGGAAATCCTTTTCCCAGCCTCCAGCCTGTATTTCCCTTGGTGCAGCTCGAGGCTGTGTGCTCTGGCTCTGTCAGTGGTGACCCCACAAGCTCCTTCAGGGGTGGTAAGGGCACCTCTGAGTGTCCTTCTCTCCAGGCTGAACAGCCCCAGCTCCCTCAGCTGCTCCTCACAGGGTTTGTGTTCTCTCTGCTTTCCCACTCATTCCCTCTCTCCCAGCTGCTCTCTTCCTCCTCTTTTCCTCACGGCTCTTCTTGTCCCCTTAGTTCTTCCTTACTGTCATTTTATTTTGCTGATTTCAAACCACACTTTAAAGACAGATCTTTCATTTTATTTAAGAGGTCTCTGAGGTCTTTCCAAAATATTAGGAGTGCAAAAACTCTGGGATATTTCCTTAGTGAATTCCAGCTTTGGAAGTTTTGTGTAATTTTGCAGTTGCTGAGACAAGCCTTGGTGTGAGCAAGGGGGATGAGCAGCCCCGTTATGGGGTGGGTATGGCAATTAAAGCAGGATCTGGATTTGAATCAGGAGTCTGTGTGGACTCTGTGTTGTTTTTCATTCCATATTTAACATGAAATGGCTGCTGTGGCCCTTTTTGTGCAGGCAGGAAAGGGAATCTCAGGGCATTTAGGGGGTTAGAATAATAGGAAAATAGTCCTTTCCTGTGCACTGTTGGTGCTTCCAGGGAAAGCTGGAGGCTGGGGTTGTGACTCTTGTGGTGCTTCTTTTTCCCTTTTTCTGGACAGTCCCTTTCTCCAGGCTCAGCTGTGGCTCCCCAGCCCCAGGAGCCGAGCTGGCTGTGCAAATGAGCCCTGGATTGTCTCAGAAGCCAAGATGTGCCAGTCCTGACTGTGCTTCTGGCAGGGCAGAACCAAATCCTGCTGCTCCTGGGAGATGCCCCTTGGGCAATTCCAGTGGGAATGTCCTGGGAGGGTTTTTTGGGGTACAGTGGCTGCAGGGAGTGAAGCCCAGGGGGGTTTGGGCAGTGAATCAGCAGCAGAAGCTCTGGAATTCACTGAAATCCTGGAGCAAGGCTGGAGCTGCTGCTCGTTTAAACGTCTGGGTGGGTTCTGATCTCACTGCTCCCTCACAACAGGCAATTTCTGACCACATTTCCCTCTCAGAGCTGCCTGAACCCATCCCTGCCCCAGGTAAATCCCACTCCAGCTCTGGAAATAAAGAATTTTCCACTGAATTTTGGCAGTTGGGTTTTAAGTACCTGGAGAGGGCATCCTGCTTCTTGGAGATTTCTTCCAGGAACTGGCATTCCTGTTTGAGACAATGTCTGGAGGTTCTTTTTCTGCCCATCCTGCATAAATAATTTATGGAAAACAGTCCCAACTCTTTTGCTTACGCATTAATTATGAGAATTAATAGTTGCTTCAATGAAATTATTTCTAAATATTAAGCATCTTTGCTGGAAATGAGAGAAAAGACAAAGAAAAACTGACCAGCAGAAAAAGAGTTTAAAATCACAGCTAAATTTCTCTATTTATGTGAAATGCCACAGAATATTGCCTATGAGAAAGAGGCTGGGAGGAGTTTAAAATCCTGTTTTAAAAATCCATCTGTACAAATGACTCTGTGTGTATTTAATTGGTCTCTGATTCCTGATAAGTTTGGTAATTACTGCATTTGATAAAGTACTGAAAATGTGATGGGCTGTGTCTGGATAGATAACAGAGGGACTAGTCATTACTGCAGGTGAAAAAAGCTGATTTTTTGTTGTATTTGTTGGGTTTTATTCCCCAAACTTGCTGATTTTGTGTATGAGCTCTGCCTAATAAACAGGCACTCTTGAGAAAACACAGTTTTGGTAGTGCTGTGTCCTCGGTGCTTTCCTGGCAGGTTCTGTCTCTGAATAGAACAGAAAAACTGATATTCAGCCTTAAAAATTTCACATCCAAACCATCCTCAGTGGGATGCTCCCTTCTGTCTGACAGTCACTCACTGAGTGGCAGGTTCATGTAGAAAATCCACTTCTTTCTTAACATTTCTCCATAAAAAGTGAAATTCTTCTTGGTGAAATTGGTTGAGAAGTAAAAACTGGAGCTCTTGTTTTATAACCTGTAGGAAAAGAGAAATGCTGTGACAGGAGAAGACTCAGCTGTTAGAAAAAGACAAAGTATTGGATTTTTTTGGATGGATCCCAGCTTCCAGAGAAGAACAGTGGATTTTCAGTGTGTCTCGGGAAGACTGGGAAGGGTGTGAATGAATTAAAATAAACTTAAAACAAAGCTTTAGTGCCAAAATCATTACTGGGCTGATCAGTATTGGGTTTGGAGAGTGACAAGATCAGCTAAAACCCACCCCACCCTGCTGTGTGCCTGCTGCTTCCCTTCCTTTATTGGCCAGCTGAGAAAACGTCAGACACAAATTGCACAAATTGCACTTTTCTGCCTGGTTCTGAGTGAGTTTGTCACGACTCTGAAGTTTTACAGCAGAATAACTAAACCTCAGTGCCAGGCAGAGCCCCAGAGGCTCCCCCAGCTGGTTTGCTCCTGGGACTTGCTCCTGGGAGTTTCTTTTGGGAATATTGCCAACTGCATGGACACTCCTCAAGGTATCGCACCTGGGGAAGGCAAAGCTGGCTGGTTCAGTGCTGGAACAAATGGGAACTGCTCTGGCTCGTGCTCTGCCCTTCCCTGGAGCAGTGGGATCTGTGCCCTGGGCTGGGGATGCTGGGGATGGGAGCCCCTCCTGAGCCCCAGAGTCTCCTTTTGGCCTGCGCTGCTCCCTTTGCTCTCTCCAGGATCTGTGTCCATGAGCACGGATCTGGATTTGTCCTGGAGCTGTTGGTTCCTCCCTGCTCTGCTTTGGGGGATCCCTTTAGGACAGAGCAGTGGGTTGGGGTGTGCTGCTGCCTCTCTGGCACTGCCTGGGCTCGTTCCCTCCACGCCAGCTCAGCCCCAGCGCGTTGGGAAGGGATCCCCAGCATCGCCAAGGCCAGCTTGGATGGGGCCACTGGGATGGGTGGGATTTCAGGTCCCTCCAACCCAAACCAGTCTGGGATTGTGTCCTGTGGGAGGGCAGGGCAGGGTGGAGGAAGGTGCAGCTCTCTCTCAGCCCAGTGTGGCTCTGTAAAACCCAGTCAGGGCCGTCAGGGGAGCACTCGGGGAGCTCCCGGGGAGGGGATGCACCTTTGCAGTCCCTGCTTGTGGAGGTCCTGTCTGCTTGGCAGCAGGTTTGTGCCACCCCTCCTTCTCCCCTGGGAAAGAAAAGCCACTCCAACAGTTATTTATGGGTGTTTTTCTTTGCTAAAGAACCCCTGCAAATCTGCACTAAAATAATTAGGTCAGGGCGTTAGTTTAGAGCCTTTGTTTTTTATTGTGCCAACAGAAAACAGATTAGGAGCAGTTTTTAGTGAGGTGTAGCTGGCACAGGAACAGCTCTTTGCCCTGTACACAAGTCCTCAGCTCCTGTCAGAGCTCCAAGAACAGGTTCTAAGCTCATTGTGGGCTCCAAGAACTCGTTGTGGTTTTGCTGTGGGAGATACCTGGGAGCACAGAAAGTCTTTGTGCTCTTGGCAGGTTCAGTGCAGGATGGGATAGTTCTGCCAGTTGTCTTTTATCTGCTGCCTGTAAATCTGTCAGCTCCCAACTCCACTTACTGAGCTGGAGAAAGCCACAAGCTCTCCTGAGCAATTAATTGGAATTAACTCTATGGCTGTGTTTGGGTAACACGACACTGGAGTGTTTTGGAAAGGCCGAGGGGACTTTTCCAGAAGTATTATCTTTTTAATTAAAAATGAAGGTATGGAGGGAAGATCAGTGTAATCAGTGAGCAGTGCCTGCTGCTGAGGCTCTCCTAAGTAGGTTGTGTTTACTGTTCCCTGGTAGTTGTGGAGCTCCAGGTGACTCCAGGATCCTGCTGTCTTTCATAACTGCTTGTTTTGCAGAGGGTGATTAAATCAGACAGGGGTGTACACTGAGCAAACAGGGACAATATCTTTTTCTTATATGTTAGAAACTAGGTCAAGGGATGAAACAGAAAAGTACAGGTAATGGGAATTGCTTTTTAGAAAAAAAACAAAAACAACTTTGCAACAAGTGTAGGAAAGCATAAATCAGTGCTGAAATATTAGATTTAGTGGTCGTTGCTTTTTAATGAAAATATTAATTTCTTTTCAAGAGGAACAAAAAGCCTGACTTCATTTCCACTGCTTGAGACACAGTTTAAGCTTCACCTGCAGCATTTCGAGTGTGCTCATGTCCAGCTCTTTGGGGTTTGATGGGAGGGCAATGTATCCATTCAAATAAAAAGCACTGAGTCCTTCCTTCATGGTCACTATTTTGGTTTATTTGGTAAATGACTTTTCCTCTAAGCAGGCACAGACCTCTCTGTCTCTGTCCTTTAAAAGGGACTCGTCAGGAACAGCCTGGATTGAAAAACAGAACAGTAACAAACTGTGATAAAACACCAAGTTCTGAGTTTTAAACCCTTAAAATGAAACTGCACTTTTAAATTTGTTCTCACTAATATGAGAAATTAATCCCTTGTGCATTCAGCTTTCCCAGTGGCTTGGTGAATGTTTTATTTTTGAGAAAACAACATTTGAGTTCTTCATGTTTTCTCCCCCTTTTCTCCAGAAATTCCTGGCACTACTGGAGCCTCCAGTTGGTGTTTGCTTGTTGGTGGTGTTAGAGGTGTTAGTGGTTTATTTGGCTTAATTAATCCATGAGCTTTAATTAGATGGAATGCCTGGGTTTGGAGTGTCCAGAGGCTGTGACCCAGCTCCCCTGGGGATGAAGGGACCTGGGCAGGGCTTGGGGAGGTGTTGGAGCCCTGTGGGTGTTCTGTGCCCACAGCTGGCCTGACCCAGGGGCACGGGGGGATGGCCCAGGGTGAAGTCCTGGGATGGTTTGGGTTGGAAAAGACCCCAAATCCCCCCCAGTGCCACCCCTGGATGTGCAGGGACAGCTCCCACTGTCCTAGTGTCCAGCCCCAATGTCCAGCCTGGCCTTGGGCACTGCCAGGGATCCAGGGGCAGCCACAGCTGCTCTGGCAATCCCAGCCCAGCCCCTCCCCACCCTGCCAGGGGAGAGGAGCAGCCCAAGATGCACCAGAACACTCAGAATTCTGGCTCCATGGCTGGGATTTCCTTTATCTGCTGTAAGCTGCTTATCCTGCAGCCCCAGTGTGCTTTTGGAGTGAGCTGTGGGCACGGATGGCCAGGGTGGAAATTCCCCAGCACAGCTCCCCCAGCTCAGCTGGGGCTGCCACAGCTTTCCTTAACCCTTCCAAATTTCTCCTGGCATTTCTGATTCTTTGGGGAATTAATGCTGCTGTCTTTGATGATGGCAATTATTCCCACTCCATTCCTTAGGATTTTAGATTAGATTTAGGTTGGATATTGGGAATTGGGAATTGCTGTCTGGGCTGGAATTGCCAGAGCAGCTGTGGCTGCCCCTGGATCCCTGGCAGTGCCCAAGGCCAGGCTGGACACTGGGGCTGGACATTGGGACAGTGGGAGCTGTCCCTGGGATGGGTGGGATTTAAGGTCCATTCCACCCCAAACCATTTCATTCTGTCATTCTGTTTTCATTTTAATGCCACACAGGTTCTGCACACAGAGTAAGAAGATAAAAGACCTATAAATAAATTCTATTATGAACTCTAGGAATAATCAAAGCAAGCAGACAGAAGTTAAACTGAGCTGTCCCTGCACTGCCAGAGCATCAGCAGAATGTGCTTGTCAAGGATATTCCAGGATCTGGGAAGCCAGCAGAGGAGCAGTGCCTGGAGTAACAAATGGAATGTTTTTACTCAGGGATAAACACAGGCTGAGTTCTACACGTGCCGTTCTTTACCTGTCAGGACATTTCCTCCCCAGCAGCTCCAGGCCTGCTGGGATCAGTGTTGGAAGCCTGACTTAGGCCTGGCTTTATTGGTTTAGTTGGATGTTTTTCAGTGGGCTGAAGGGACACTAAAGGGATTAAGCATTTGTTACACTATACCCTCTTAGGGCACGGTGTGGAGTGCCTGCAAAACCTGGGAAGAAAGCAATGGGGAACTGTCTGTCAGCTTTGGAGAAAGCTGTTCTTGTGCCCTGGGATGTTTCTAGGGCCCTTGGCCAAGGGGGCCAACAGGCTGTAAGCAGTGTTTGTGGGACAAATCTGATTACTGCAATTATGACAGAGTTAGTGCTCAGGCCAAACTAAGTCTGTGGAAAAATCCTGACCACCTAAGGCTAGGAAACAAAGAGGAAAAACAGGATTAAGATGCATTAGTGCAGGTCATTGTCCTTGCTGCAGCGAGGTGGAAAGCAGGTACATGTGATGTTTAAAAACAAGTTTTGGGGTGGGTTCTGCAGGAAACGGGACACACTGCTGTGATCATGTCTTCCCTTCCCTTCCCTTCCCTTCCCTTCCCTTCCCAAACCTTCCCTTCCCAAACCTTCCCAAACCTTCCCTTCCCAAACCTTCCCTTCCCAAACCTTCCCAAACCTTCCCAAACCTTCCCAAACCTTCCCTCTTTGAGGATTCACAAAATCTTTTATCCAAGGATGGGGAACCCTCTCCTTGGGAATATCCCGGGAATTTTCCTCCCTCAGAATGGTTTTTTGGTTTATTTTAATTCCTGGGAAGATGCAGGGAGCATCTTAACCACTCCCAACCCCCCGATTTAAACAGATAAATGGGGATATAATTAAAGTGACAAATGAAACGTGTCCCCCGACCCCAGCGGGACAGCCCAGGGGAGATTCGGTGCTCGGTGCCTCCTCTTTGGGAACACGGACCCGCTCTCAGGCACCGATTGTTCCCAGCTCAGGGCTCGTCCCGGAGGAGAATTAAAAAAAAAAGCCCTGGGAAATTGGGAATTGTAGTTGGGAATTGCCCCGCCAGCCTCGGGGGGTCCCGGGGGGTGCAGCCGCTTCCAGAGGCATCGCATCCCGCCAGGGGAAACGAGAGCAGGAAAAGTGGGAAAGAGCGCAGGAAGGGGGCGATGGAGCCACATCCAGCCCGGTTCTTGCACAAAGCCAGCCCGGGGCTTGGCCCAGCCCTGCCGGGACGGGAAAGGGACGGGAAAGAGACGGGAAAGGGACGGGAAAGGGACGGGAAAGGGACGGGAAAGGGACGGGAAAGGGTTTTTGGGATCGCTGGAGGTTCCAGCACAGCCGAGGGTGAGGCTGTGAGGAGGGGAGGGATCCGGACAGGGAATGGGAGCCGGGAATGGGAGCCGGGACATTGGAGAGGGGACATTGGAATTCGGGAGGGAGAGCAGGGAGGGATCACCCCTGGGATGGGGAGGATGGGGGGGTAGGAAAGGGAAGGGGAAAGGGAAAGGAAGAAAGAAGAAAGGGGAGGAAGGAAAAGAGGAAAGGAGAAAAGGAAAGAGGAAAAGGGAAAGGGAAGGAAGGGGAAAATTAAAGAGAAGAAGGAGAGGAGAGGAGAGGAGAGGAGAGG